TCCCACTTCTTAAATGGCTGTTAAGAATCCGTATAAGCTTTTCAACAAATATACCCTGACTGAACCATCACGTCTTGTTTTTTAATCATTTATTTCTCTAATACTTTTATACACTGAAAAACAAAGAGCTAATTATTTAAATACATAATCATTTAATAGTTTTCATATACAAATTTTATGAAAATGTAACATTATATAACATTTGTTTTAGCTAAATTATGGATGAAAATCTTTGATACTTTTTATAAATTAGTTGCATACATTTCCGAGTATCAACCCACTATAAGGCCATGTCTTCCATTTTCATGATTGTAATAAAGTGAGTGGTACACGATTTCCTAGATTCCAATTAGATCCATATTCTTCATATGGAATCATTTTTTAGCATATTTAAAAACTCTAATATTAACAAGGAATACAATAGAATAGTATTCATAAAACTTATTGCTCGTTAATATTTTTGTATTTAATTATAGTGCAAAATAATCAAGTATAAAAAATATGGATTTGTACATTGATATTTTCATTTATACAAAACCAATTTTCATTAAACCTGTAGAAACCATATGTACATTTTTTCTATATAAAATGATATTAAGGGATCATTGAAGACCTATTAAAATATCACCTAAAAAGTTATTTACAGGAATAACAATGTTTTAAGAGATAATTTTTTTTCTTGACACGTGCTTAAATTTGTTAGTTGTCTGTGTAAGCATTATAATTTAAAAAGATAACATATTGTGATTGTTTAAGTATTAATCTTAGGCCACTTATATAAACAAATATGGAGCAATGAAAAATAAATTAATTTTCTAATTTGAGTGGGGTCTCAGCCCGAAAATCCCTCCACTCCCAGTAGATTCGTTTAATATTAGTGGGATTGATTAAATCAACTGTCAGAGCTAAAGTAATTATCATGTTTTTCCGATCCGTAAATACTGCTTGAAATATATTCAGCGGCGTGTATTGTTCCGCGTCTTCACACCAAAAGCACTGGCGAATTCAAAGAGAGGGCGTGACTTTCATGCTTGGACCCCCAAAATCAGAAAATAATCTATTTTTCATCGGTCGATTTTATATCTAAATACTTCTTTATAGAGCTACTAAATACTTCTCTATAGAGCCAAATACAATATCAATCGTAATAAATTCTCTTTTTAAATTAAAACGCACCTAATTCAGCTCATGGACCTCGAACCATTATTGTTTGAAATGATCTCATTCGTTCCCACTATTATTTTGAATGGTCCCCATCTTTATCATCCTTTACGAACGTAAAAAAATAGAAAGTTTTAGATAACTATATTAAAAAATGTGTAAGAATAAATATGTTGAATTGAATAAAAGTTGAGTTAAATAACTCTTTATCTTTTCATTTTACTTAAAAGTCTTGAAGAAGAAAGTTATTTAATATTCAATTTCCTTTAAGAATTTGTATTATTTTACTAACTTAGCTTCAACCATTCAAAAGCTAGAGCCATTATAATTTAATGATCAACTCCGAAACTATATAGAACACCATACTTCAAGTCGACTTCACCTTTTTTACCTGGCTGATGTATTAACTTTATTATTTCTTAAAGTCATTTGGTTGTTCTTACATTCTATTTTTTTTTTTTTAATAATTTAGAAAATCCCATGATCGGGGCATTATTCTGTCTTTATTAATTTTACTATCTATCCAGTCAGCGTTTAAAAATAGGCCCTAGAAAAGCAATTTGTACATATATTTTTGTCTAATATGTTTAATGGAATATTGTAATCGACCAAGGAAAAGATATTAATTCCTTCCTTATATAATACATAGGAACTACTTATTTCCATATTGTTTTGATATTTCTCCACTAAACAAAATTATCTGCGAATTATTCGCACGGGCCAACTAGTTTATTTTAATACTAATTTAATAAATGAAAAAAGAAAACTTAAGAAAATAATAAACGAATATTCTGAAATATGGCTTTAGCGGAAAATTTAAAATGAACTAAAAGAGAGAAAGAACTTAAAAAAAAAATTATAACTGAATGATTACAAGCAATAATTTATCATTCGCAGTATTATTTCAATGAAGAGAGAGAGGGTAGGCTAATCCATCATGTCAAAGAGAACGGTTTCCCAGAAAACGAATTGATTAAGTTTCTCCGGCATTATTATCTCGTTCATTCGCTTTTTATCTCAACTCTTTCGGTTTAATGGAACTGTAATTGGAAATACTGTAAGCTAGACTAATGAGAATATCATAGTTTCTAAGTAGGAATAAAATTTTTTTTAAAATGAAATTTCCAAGAGCTAGAACGATAGAAATATAAGCTTATGCAAATGTTGCTATGGAGTACATAAGAGAAGCAACGGGACCGTCCGCCTAAAGTCCAATAACAAAGGATTTTTTTATATGAATAAATTTATTCCAAAAAAAATACACAAATTCTTCTTTAACCAATAGAGAAGTTTGTATTTTGTGATTTTTTAGTCTTAGTCCCTCCGCTCACGAGGAGAGATGGAATAAAAGCGAGAGAGAATCGAACTGTGCATCTTACTCGTAACTAAAGAATAATAATTTATTAAAAGGCCAAAGATTTTTTTTTTTCTGAAGCCACGAAGAATGTAGGAATTATATCAGGCGAATTGGATGGGATGGGAACCCTCATACTGCACAGGATGCTCTAGCCGATCCAAGATTTAGTTTTGGGGTGGGGGCTTCAGCCCGAAAGATTTTTTTTAAAAATATGTAACGATAATTATTTAGGAAGAAAAAGAAAGAAACTTACTATCTAAATGAAATAGATATTAGGTGATTCCTTAAGTACTATTAAATGTAAATATTTTTTCATAAAATGTGGTTATATTTTACCATTTGGGAAAGGGGACTTCAGCCCAAAAGCTCAAGCTCTCCCCATAGATCCGCCTATGATAGGATGCATTCATTAAAAGAAGTTCGAGAGGCATTGGTATAAACAGGAACATTGTTTCTAGTAATGGAGCTATAGTAGTTTCCATGTTTCAGTCCAGTTAGGTAGTAGTCCTAGCCTTGTTTTTTTTGCGGGTGTAGCTCTGTGAAAACTATCATAGGCTTCTTTAAAATCGACAAAAAGATGATATGTTTTAAGCTTATAATCGCGTCCTTTTTCAAGCATGATGCGCCAAATTCTTTCTTGCATAGGTGAGTAGTCGTTGAAAGAAAATATTGAACAAGACTTTGTATGCACAAGGGAATATATCCCTGAAAGATTTTCAGTAATTCACTTCCTCCACACTTAATTAATTCTGCAGGCAATTTGTCAACACTTGCATCCTTATTATTTTTAAGTTTCACTGGCGAATTCAAATTTTCCATCAAAAATTCCTGTTCATCTGGCGGTACCATTGACTTAAATAAAAGAAAATCTACAAAACTGTTGCTCCAAACTTCTTCCAACAGATCTTTGTTAATAAGCTGCGAGAAATGTCTCTTCTATTCTTCAAGAACATCCATCCTGTTGGTTAGAAGCTTACCATCTTCATTCAAGCAGTAGGTAAATTTGCTTTCAAAAGGTTTTCTTTTCTGACTGATTGCTCTGAAGAATTCCCTGTACTGCTTATTTATAATTGTATAAAAACTGCAATTTTTATTACTCAACTTTGAACAGATTTTAAGGCAAGCAGGGCAATAAAATTTCTTGGGAGAGGTTGAAACTTGTGCCATCAACTCCTACTTGTTGATAAGGACAATTACCCATATTAAGAATCTTTCATAGACGGATGAAAAGAATTAATGAAACAAACCAATTTAAATCCCCCGTGACAGACAATTGTACAAGAAAAATGATCCATGAGGAAACTGTACTTTTTATTCTTATTCTGTATTCTACTTCATCATTTAGGACGATTTCCCTCAGCTAGTAAACAAGGATACATACTACAAAGCTTTCGTGTATGGATGAAAAGAAATTGTGGGAATTGATCATTTCAACCTCCTCCAATGAATTAGAAGAAAGAAGTGTTAAAAGTAGCACAATAGTTCTACTATAATCCGTATTGCCGAGAAGGAAGGGAGGACGGAAATAAAGTATTAGAAAAATTAAATAGTAAATAATAAAATTTAATAGGAAAAAAGCAATATAAGAATGAAGAAGCAGGATAAATGGCAAGTGCCCATTCTTCCAAAATCTGTATTGCACAGAGATAGAGTGGGATGAGAATAAATAAATGAAGGTTAAAAAAAAAAACATTCTCTATAAGAATACAAATTTTTCTGAGACTGAATAATAAATATTTATCAATTTTTATTTAAAATTTTGTAATCTAAATTTAAATTGTTAAATGGTTAGTCTGAGACAGGGATGCCCAAGAGGTTTCATGGTACTCCATGTGACATTGAAATTTCTGAGGGAGGCACAGTTGATAGGGTTATGAATTTTTGGAGGAACTTTTAACCTAAGAACAATTTTTGTAATTTTACTTTAAACACTTGCACTGTTTTAAGAAGAGAGCAATTAAATTTCTTGGGATAAAATACCAGTGCTGTTGAACTGACTCCTGGTTTGAGAATGTTGTCTGTAGGAGTAGAAAAACTCATTAAAAGGTTCTATTATTTAATAATTACCAGGACTAATGAAGACAATATCAAACAATTTAATGTGGAATCCAAACAGTCAAAAATATGAAATGACATAGTTAAAACACTATTAAACTATTTCTCTGGACATTCTTTTGTGTTTCCATTAAGAAGGAATGAGTTTCAAAAATAAAATAACTACTTATTTCAAAATATAACAAATACTGATGTTTTAAATTTCTGTTTTATAGGATAAAAATGAGCAAATAATATGATTTTTTTTTTTTTTTAAATATGGTCATTATTGTTCTTTGACAAAACCAATTTAAGACATTAATTTTTAAATGATGAAACATTAAATATCAGTATCATTGCAGGAAAACATTTTTTTCTCTGCTCTTGTTTTCAGCTTTTCTATATAACGCAGATGAAAATGAGTAATAAATTCAACACATAATAATTACAACGTTATGATGTTTATTGTAGTAACAATAAAATATTTTCAATTAAAATATATGAATTAAGACATTTCTAGGAAATAAAAGTATATCACACATCTTTGTATATTACAAGGTTAGAAATGAGTAAAATTACAATTATTATTTATATATTTTGATTTCAATCCTCTGATGATCTTAAATACCTCTTCAAAGCAGATGCCAATAGTTCTGATCTCAATTTCTCTTCTTCCCTGGAAATATTACAAATAATAAACATATAAAGCTAATGAGTTTGTTTATTTGAAAATCCTAATTTCAGGAAATTCTAGTCCGATTTAAAAAAAAAAAAAATTAGGAAAAAAGGTAATGGACATTGAGGAAGACTTTAGGCTTTATAATATTATAAGAACGGAGTGGTAACCATAAATATCAATCAAAACCCAAGGCAATTACAAAAGTAGAGTTTTCCATAAATATTATTTGCACTATAAATAAAGCAAAGTGACAAACTTTTAAGCATATCAGGATCAACTTAAGAGAAGACAGACAACTAAATGGTGCTTTATTTAAATCAGGATACAGAGAAAAGCAGAATATGCTTAATTACGGCAGGGCACTAAAGAAAAAAATTGTTATTTTAGTTCTTTAGTTAAATTATATAGTTAGACGATGAAATAATATACGTTTTTTAAATATTTAAATAACAAAACGTTGTTGTTAGTACATTCGAAAAGTGTCATTTTGTTGTTAGACTTTGGTTTTCTTACTTTAGCTCATAAATTTAGAGGTTATTCACTAAATTAGATACTCTTTGTTTTGTAACCACAAATGAAATCAAAGAGCAGAGTTAGGATTACATATTTAAAATAAAAAAAAAGAATAAAGCTTCATGTTTTAAGTTGAAATTTCATTAATTTTAAACTTACTTTATTTGGGCCATCTTCTCATTCACTTCTTTCTGCCTCAAAGTACTAACCCGAAATTTTTCCTTTTCTTCAATAATTTCAGTTTTTAAATTTTTAATTGTTTGATTTGCCATTGTCAATTCATCATCAACCTTATTTAAAGCTTCCTTATATTTCTTGATTTCATTCTGTGCATTTTTGAGTTCCTACCAAAACATTTCTTGCATTTATTTTTGAAGTTAATTATGAAAGCTGTTCAAATATATTGATTGTCAGAAATAATTAGATATTGGTTGGAATACATCAAGTTGATACTTTTTCACTGATACCCATAAGTAGAAAAAACATTAAAATATTAAAGAAGGATATGGTGCTTTCAATTATCACAAATAGGTACCACTGTTTTTAAAAAAACAGTATTGATATCAGTCAAATGCTTTTACATTTATTCACTTTTTCCCTATTTCTCCACTGAATGATTTAACTTCCTGCCCTTTTTCTGTCAAAATAATTAAGGCAATTGTCCCTCAATCCAAAACCTTTAATTTTATAGTTAATCTAGCCCATAGGTGTAGAACTGAGACCTCTGTGCTATTGCTGCTGCCTCCAAACGTTTTTGAACGGTATTTATTAATCTAGCGCTAGAATTAATTAATATCTAATTATTTAAGTTACAAAAATTTGAAAATGAATAAAATAACTTGAATATATGTATATGGGTGTGTGAATTTAATGATAAATAAAAATAGAAACAGTAAAATATAAAAAATTATTATGCCTCCATTAGGACTGCCTTAACCTTACTGTAGCCTCTAATGATAAATAGATTCCTCACCTATGATCTAGCCTATTGTTTAATCTCCAAGGTGTAGGTATATAGTACACCACTTTAGCTACCCTCCAGATATTTAGAATGTAGTTAAATGACTAACTTCCCCATAGACATGAGAGTTTTCATATTGGTAAACCTTTTTGTAGTAAGGCCATGAAATTCCCATCGATACCAGCTGATAAAAAAGGTGCAAATGTTTTGATTGCCTATTGGACCCTCATTGAATCAATTATTCTTAGCTTCAACCTGTTTATCATTGCTAGTTATGTAGCTATTGATAGTGGAGATAATCCAAGAAAACATAAGGCTTGTCTGGAAGTGGAGAAGTTGTCATAAATGTCATTAAAGAATTTCCTCCATGCCCCAATTGTTTATTTTATAAAGATCCATTTTTTTTTTTTTTTTTTTAGTGCCCAAAATTTGTAAGAATGGCAAGAACAATTATCGTTAAGTAGATAATAATAACAATACTTCTACAGGCTTCTAAGTCCACAAAATATTGCTCTCATAGGAGATTTGACACAAATCTTACAGCACACAATCATAGCCTGCACAAAATTGAACTAAAAAGGAAGAAGATCCATACCTATGAAGGAAAAAGCAAAATTATGCAGATAATGTAAGAGGTGTAAAATGTGCAGAAACCTATAACTTTAAGACCCTATGAATTGAATGTCATGTTAAAATCATTAAATTACTTAAACAGTTAAAACTACAGTAACAATTGACAAAACCTGCTGTGTAGTTTCAAATCCAGTTGAAATTAAAATTAATTCTTTCTGCAATGCCACTATTTTTGATTCTTGGTTTGAAGTTTTATCTAGTAGAGATAAAATTTCTCCTTCCATTGACATTTTACTTTTTTCAGCTTCTTCTGCCCTAATTCTAAAACTTTTTATCTGTAAAATAATTCATCATTAATGAAAATATTTAAATAGGTAAATTACTTCAGAAGAAAAATAAATAAGCTAATGTTAAAAGAGCTGTTTTTCAAATTTTCATTTTGCTTGTTTTTTTTTGGGCTAGACACACATATTTCTGTTTTGAAATAGTTTTCATCAATGCATCTCCTATACAGATGCACATAAGAGGGTTTCAACATTTTTGAAGAGGGCACATTTTGACAAGGTTTGTTTTTTTGAGGAGAGCACATTTCGACTGAGTTGTGAATTTTAGGAGTGAAAAGTTTCAAACCCAGGAACAAACAGAAAACATAGACAAGACCACAACAAGTGTAATTGTAATGATCTACAATTTTTCTAATTCTACTTTCGCTTAACTGTTTTTGGGAAGACAGCAATAAAATTTCTTGAGGGAAGAGTTCAGATATTTTCAACTTTGGGGTGAGGGGCACCCCTACTCTTAAAAAGAAAAACTGAAGTAGAAAATATTGGCTGAATGATAAAAGGAGAAATGTCAAGGACAATTTTTCTTTAAACAATTACGAAGAAAATATCAGTTAAATATTGTTTAGTTATGGCAATATTGTTTTGTAATCTTAAAACCTTCCTTACTATAAAATACCTTCAAACATGTTTAAAATGAGTATAATAATCTTTCTTTGTATTTTAAAGTCTATTTAGTAATAAAATCTAAATAAAATAGAGATTCTTTGTCAGATATATCTGAAACACCACTATTTAGTGTAAGAAAGGTAGATCCGTCTTCTTAAAAAACATAATAAAGTAAGAGCATTAAAACTAAAAACTATCAAAATTATATTGGAAATTTTTTGCTTTTCATTTTTACTCGGTACTTTTTTTTAATATACAGTTCAATATTTAATCTTTTATAAATATTCAACTGCCAAACAATTTGATATATCAATCCAGAATCTTTATTTAGAATTTATGAAAGTTTCTTGATTAAGAAGAGAAAGATGAAAGATTGGTGAATGAAGGTGGCTATAAAGGCAATATATTTATTATTATTTCTGTTTGGAGAACAAAATTTGCAATATACAGTTCAAAATGGAGATTTCATTGAAAGTCTTTTACACCCACTACAACAGCAGTACTACTAGCTCATACTAAAATGCTTAACAAGGAATGTTTGAATTATTGTTTGCAGCTTGTTATTTTAAAAGAATGTTTAAATTATTAATTTTTTTGTTTTTTTTGTTCTTCTTTCTCTTACTTTTTTTAAAAATAGGAGGGCAATAAAATGTCTTGTTATGGGAGGGGTGATCCATGTACTATCGACCATAAGGGGGATGGGTACTCCTATCTCTAGGAGAAGTGGCTTTTATCATTTAAGGTCCTTTTTTTCAGATTGACTTTCATTTAGCACTATAGAATGTTTAATGAATTCATCTCTAATGCACATAAGATATTTTTTGACATTCTGAGCTATATATTTTAAAACCATCATTCATCAATTGCTTGTAAAGAATGGCAAAGTTCCCTTCAGTTCTTTTATGTTTACAGGTTTGATCAATCCACATCTATTTTCTCAATTTTTGCTTATCCTCTTTGTTGATTTTATAAATAGTTTATGAGTTTTTTTATTAAGTGCAAAACATTGAATAAACAACGAGACTTTTTTTTTAAACTAAGGAAATAAATCTTTATTAAACTAACAACACAACATAATAGAAATAACAGGGTTATATCTGAATATATGTTTTATGTATATAGCTTTTTTTTAATTCATATAATCGATATGTAATTAATATTAATAAAATTACTTCTAACACTCTACATTAAAAATAAGAGCAATTATCTACAAAAAGTATTCTAAAGATTTAAGCATTTTTTATGGAATAATTATTACTTCAGAGAACATTGCCTAAAGAGTTTATATCATTTCAACTTTATTGTATAAAAAGAACATACATTGTAGATACAGATATAAAAAATAATTGTTCTTCACATTGTGGTGGCACAGTCTCATAGTGGAAGCATGAACTATGTGAAGGCTAGAGCCACTATACTTAAGAAGTAATTTTAAAAGTTTACATTTAGTTAGGAAATTTCATTTAATTTCCTTAGAAACATGTGGTTTCCGTTAAATAATTTTAGTTTTCAGACATTACTATTTATAATTTTTTCGTCACCCTCCATTACCCTTTACAACTTCCTATATTAGATATTGTTTTTTCTGAAATTCTCAACTTTTCAATGATATATTATATGTAAACCTTCTGACTATCATTTCTGGAGATCCTCTAAACAAAAATTTTTCCTTTTTCTTCTTTATTCAATTACCAATTTCTTTCAAATGATATGTACTTAGCCTTTTGTTATTACAGCGAACAATGAGAGATAGTTAATTATTTAAAATAAACCAAATTAAAGATACTTTAGAGGAATAAATAAAGAAGCGACATTAATGGAGATTAGATCAAAATGATATTAAAACCATTTAATTATGCATTGACACACTAAGTTTAATAAAAATAGTTTTTTTTTTTATTAAATTATTAAAAATAGCTGTTTTTGTGTAAATTGTAAAAATTCATAACATTTATGATATAAAGAAGCACTTCTGGACAGCCAATTTTAAGGAAAAATTGCTGTAACTTTCCAGGCATATCTCTAACTTAGATGAGAGAAATATTTTCAGGTTCATACAACTTTCCCCTTTTTAGCTTATTTTAGCTTATTTCCCCTTTTCCCATTTTTAGGACTTGGTTATTTGGATTCAGGGGACCTCAAAATGTGTATTTTTGAAAACTCAGATTAAACAATGTTCACTCTTGCAATACTACTTTCCTTTACTATATAGATAACTGAAAGTAGAGACAGATTATAAAGTTTAGAGAAGTGAAACTGGTTTGAACAAACTGATGTTAATATAAATCTTAAAGAAAATATGGGTTGAGAACTACAAAAACAAAATAAGAATTTTCAACACATATTTTTAAAAGAAATAAGGAATAGAAAAAAAATGCAAATTAATATAAATTTCAGAAAACCTTTTTGAATAAATTAAATACCTTTTCTTCCTCTTCCTTTAAAAACACAAGTTCTTTTTCAACTAACTGTTCTCGAAGCTCAACAATTTGTTTACTATATTTGCAATCAACATCTTCTAACTTCATTTTCCATTCACTTTCAATTTTGCCTAATGATAAATAAAATTTTATTTTTTTAAAAGAACAAATACTACTGCTATGCATGCAAATTACCTCTTTTTTCCAATGCACAAGATTCCCAATCCAACTTGGCTTTAGTAAAATCATTTTTTAAAACTTCAAGAGCTATATTTTTTTCATTTATGTCCTGTACCAGTTTTTCATTCCGATCTTGCTCTAATTTTAATTTGCATTCCAATTCTTTTATATTTTTAAAATAATTATTTTGTTTTTCTTCAAGTATCTAAATAATACAACCAAAGGATTAAATTATACAATATGAGTATAAATACCCACCTCCAGTATGGTATATATTGATTGTATGTACATACAATATCAATATATCTATATCCATGTATACATGGATGCACACTCATAACAATAAAAGTGAATTACAATGGAAAACCACAAACTAAACATTATTAGTACTGCTTCATAATGGACAATTAAGTAAAATATATCTACTTTTCTGTACAACAGACCAAATATTCACCATCTTTTTGTATACTTTAAGGCAGCTTACGACATCATTAACTGGGAAGAACTGTAAAAGACATTTGAAGGGTAAAATATCTCTGGTAAAGCTGACCATGAGAGAAATTAAGTGTAGTATAGGGGTTGGTGGGCTAAAAACAAAAGAATTCTCCTTAAGAAAAGGACTTTGTCAAGGTGATGCCTTAGCATGCCTCCTGTTTAGCTAGACACTTGAGAAGGTAATGAGGGATTCAGGTTTGCTAACTGACCAGACAGTTTACAATCGGGTGGTCCAGTAGTTAGCCTTAAAGAATTGTAGTAGACATCTCCCTGTATTTACTCCTTTAGACGACATTGTGTGAGGGAATGAGAAGGAATATATAATATATAGGAATGTGAGGTTGCACTGTGGATTGTACTCAATTGTGCAGTGGACAAATTGCTCATTGAAAAATCTCATATCGATAAACAATCGAAAAGAAAAGAAGAAAAAAGGTCCGATCAGGTAGCAGCAGCTAGATGACGAGGCCTGGACACCAACACAAGACGTCATCTGGGAAGAGAGGCTTACTCCATTGAAGACTAAGAATATAAAGCCTACAGATATTAGACTTAAATTTATTCACTTATATCAGTTGTCAAAATAAATTGTTTTATTATACCGGAGTGAATAGTCCTTTTATTTAGTTGTGCTATAGAATTGAAGAATAAACCAGGTGAGTCAATTCATTCAAAGTGTTTACTAAGTCCCACTTTTCAGATGTATATGTATTCTTATTCTGCTTCTCACTCAGTGTCACAAAAGTATTAGATTCCCAACAACAGTTAAACACCCTCAAAAGTCGATATCCAGTGCCGGGGTTTTGTTTTAATAATTTACGAGTGAAAATAACCTCAATCTCCGATATAAAAGCGGAAGGCTATTCGCCTATTCCCGCCAAAACTAATCATTTACAATTAACTTTCAGTAGGTTATTTACAGAATGGACATCACGGTGATGTGATTTTTTTTTTAGCTCTGTTAGAGGCCACCAGAGTACTTGGGTTGGAGGTGAATGAAAGAAAAATTAGATATATGACCATAAGAGAAGTCCCTGTACCTGGCGAAACCATCAATATTGGCCCATATAATTTTAAGAATGTGGCCCAGTTCACATATTTGGGATCAGTAGTGAATCATGATAATACACTTGAGGTTGAGGTGAATAAAAGAATACTGATTGCCAAGAGGTGTTACTTAGGTCTCTGCAAGGAGCCCACCTCCCGCTTTCTATCCAGACAGTCCAAGCTCCTTCTTTACAAAACATTAATCCACCTCGTTTTATTATATGAATCAGAAACATGAAAAACTAGTAAGAAAGTTGAGCAATATCTCCTAGTCTTTGAATTTTTTCCCTAGTCGAAGAATTTTTGGAGAAATTCATATCGATGGAGGATGGAGAAGATGGACAAACATCAAAATTTACTCAATTTTTGATAAGATGTTGTTCTAAAAATAAAGCTTGGGAGACTGAGATGGACTGGCCAGGTGGCTAGGATAGATTATGAAGCAATCCCTAAGAGGTTCAGACAGAACTTCTCCACGGCATTAGAAGAAGGGAAAGGCCAAGACTCAGATGGTCAGAAGTTGTTGAAAGAGATGTATGGGAGTCAGAAGCGGGATGACAGCACACAGCACAAATGACTGGAGGAAGCTAAGAATAGTCATTGAGTTGTAGTGCCAAGATAAATAGATTATCTTTTGCCTGGGCACAAGATATGAAAGATTTTTTGTACCAATTTCTCAAATAGGAAAAAGTACAAATACAAATAAAACATTTAGATTCCCTATAACCTAGAATTTTTCAAGATACTCAGTTCTTAAGATCTGTAGTGAGAGAAATTTAAATTTCAAACTAATATTTTACATTTATAGAAGTTATATAGCTATGATCTCTGAGATAAAAATACCAGACTTATTCTATCTTGCTAAAACCTGATAAAGATCTAATGAGGCAAATATCTGGAATGCGGGTTTGGAAGGTGGGTTTGGTCATGTTATTAAGAAATTTATAATTAGCAACATTGGGGCATAAACAAAAAAATATATAAATATGCATGAGCATATAGCAACACCTTTTCAAGCTCCTGTTTTTTTTTAATGGAACATTCAATTTCATCTTTCAATTTGGTCACCTTTTCAATACATCTGGAAACTTCTTTATCAGCTTTCATTTTTTTAATTTTTTGGCATCTCAATTGCTCTTCTTTTTTCATTAATAATTGAGAAAGTTCTTCAAATTTATTTTCAAATTCACTAAAAGAATTAATTGTTTTAAAAATATATAATTAACAACTTTTTAAAATTTAATTAAAGTAAATAAATTTCAATGTTTATAAAATAATAAATTTACCACCTTTTTTGCATATCTCTACATAACAAATTCAGACATAAAACATATATCTTCTATTTTTATTTTGATTGGGCACGAGACGCAGATTCAAATGTAGCCAAATCAAAATTTATTTATCTTCAGTCTGGCACATCAAATCTATGAGATGAGATGAAGTAGACTATCTAAGATAAGTTTAAGGGTGGGTAGTGGGGGAGAGAGATGTGCAAAACATTTTCCTGCCTATCCCCCATTCTTTTGTCTTCTCTATTCATTCATATGTACTTCTAAATATTTGTTTACAAGAGGAAATTTCTTTTACAATTTTTTTCCATTTCTTTTCCTATTTCCTACATTGGTTCACAAAAAGAATGGTTGTCTACATAATGCGATTCATTTAATTCGAGCTATTACAGTACGATCTGAAATAATACAAAAATAATAACATAATGTGGAAAATTCTCTTTGTTAACATTCAGAAGTAAATGAAAAAGGCTTCTTTCCATTATAGAATATCTGATAACATAGTATCAGATTCTTTTCTGATCTATATTTTGCATCTATTTCTTGATTTTTTTAGGATCTATTTCTTGGTAAATTTAGATCTACAGATCCTAATAATAACATCGAGTTCTGTGAACAGTAGACCTCGCGAATTCATATATATTATGTTCTCAATTTGATTATTTATCCATCCTTTTCATTGTTTAATTTTATTTAAAATATCTACCTTTAATAAACATTTGTGAAAATTTTGAAGAAAATATAATAACATTTTCCCAGTATAAGGTGGTTGCTATGGTGAAGAGGGGAAGTGGTGCGGGAGAGAGGTCTTGGTGAGGTAGAACTTAAGTGGGGAAAAGCTGCTTAAGCTTCCTTTCCCTACACTCAAACTTAACTTAGATACACTATACCTAGTTGTTTTTTTTTACCTAAGGGTATGGTTTACAGGAAATAGGTTGAGTCTATAGTACCTTCTTAACGTAATTTTAAGGTCATTTTTTTTTTTTACGTTAGCTTATTTTTTAAAAAGCTGATAGATTTTGTAAACATTTTATTTTAAAATTCAAATATAAAAGCCAACAATTTTAATAAGATACTTCTGTTATTTTTGCTTTCAATTCAACACAGAAATTTAATTGATAAGTTTACAGATGAATTGCAACCAAATGTATTAGGATTTGTGTTGTACCTGACCGAGGGTCAAGGGTATCATTTCAGACCTTGACTGATATCCTACAGGAATTCATGTAGGATAAGTTAAATAATAGCCATGTGTGAAAATACTGAATCAGGGTAAAGGTAAATTTAATCTATACTATTAATTAAAATGATGAGTTGGAATGGATGAAATGTCAGATTTGTTTATTTTAATGAAATCATAAAGGTAAAAAAAAATTTATTTTTTACAAGCACTTCATACTTTTCAGTTTATGAACATTTCTCTTTAATTTTTGTAATGAAAATCAGCTTACAATGAGACATTTTAGTGTGTGTTTTGTATTTTTTTATCATCAATGAAATCAGTAAAATTATGCTATATTCTTATTTAAATTTAAACTTGGACAAAAAGCTTCCAAACCCTTTTGAAACATTAACTTGGCCATAGTGTTTCCGATGCAACATCTACATTGCTTTTGATAATGGTATAGTAAGAAAAATATAGAATGAATGAACTGCGAGGTTCTGCAGTTTTCAAACTGGTAGCATAAGTTTTCAGAATGAATATGTAGAAAGCTAGAATCATTTTTTAAAATTGGAGAGATTCATGCTGGATCCAAGTTGTGAGGAGAAATGATGAGAGAGTCTCTTGATGAAGAGAGATTTCGTGAAACATGGAAATGAATGCAACAGTAAATATTGGAATATAGGGTGAGGTGATCCCTTGTGCAATGGTTTGTGCTCATGTCGCAGTTTCTCAATAGTAACTATGAGCTATTTGTGAAAAGTTGTTTTTGTCAAATATTATCTCTTGAATGGGTAGATAATTTTTTTTGTAATGTTACCAAGCTATCAATTCCTTAATAAAACATTCTAGTTTCAAAGTAAAAAAAAAATTATTATTTTAATTATGATTTCGCAGGAATCAGTTCAGAAACTCTAACTGTTCAAAAATAGATATATTTCTTGAAAAATTGAGAGAAAAAGTTCCTAAAGTTGTCAACAGAAGAGGACCTATTCTTCACAATGTCCTACCAGATGTTTATCAGTTAATTGCTAACAAATTAAAGTTCTATCATATTCACCTGACTTGTTGTTAACTGTCTACTATTTTTTCCTGAGTGCTTGAGGAGAGCAAAAAATAGTTTTCTTTCATTTACCTCATAGGAACTGACATTTCATATGTTCCAACCCGATAATATACCGGCAAATAAATAATCTTAGTACAGTACATAAATCTTTGTTGAGAGATCTGTGTAATTTTTGAAATTTGCTGAACCCTCATATCCTCCAACTTCTTTAATTCTTTGAGAAGAAATGCTACTTTCAATTCATATTCCATTTTAATATTATGCAAATCTTCGTTTTTTTTAACACAGAGTTCTAAAAAATAAGAGTAAGTATTAGAAAACCATAAGTTTAATTTTCAAAACAGAAGCGAATTTCAAATAAAGTTTATTTTAATTTTATACCAACAGATGTAGTTTCTTGAAAATGCACAAAATTTCCTTTTAGCAGGAGTTCTTTTATGGATACATTAAATTTCAAAGCATTTTGCAAATAATCAACACCTTTATTTTTCAGTTTATTCCACCTTAAATCTACCAAAAACTTAATTAAAAAATAAATTAATTGATAAATAAACATATTTATGAAAAAGTGTACCTAAAATCTTCAAAGAATGGTTCTGTTTTAATGCAACAGATAATTCATTGGCACCAGCAGAGCATACCTGATTGTTCCTTAAATCTAGGTACTCCAATGATTGATTTTGTGATAATCCACCACAAAATGCAGAAAATGCTTCTAATGATTCACCAATATTATTCCAATTTAAAGTTAATCTAACATAAATCATTGATAACAATGTGTAGATAGCTGTAGGAATAAAAAAAATCAGCTTTTACTTACGTTTTAATAGATTTATTAATGCTTAACATTTTTCCAAGTTGGATAATAGAGGTATTGCTCATATTGTTTCCAAATAAATTTACTTCAGATATTCTATTACAGTTCATTAATGCATTAAAAATAAAATCAAATCCTAATGTAGGAATCATACAATCACAAAATTTTAGTTTGGTAATGGCTTCATTTTTTACCATGATTTTTGATAACACTTCCCATCCACCTAATGCAACAGGATATCCTGATAAATCCAATTCACCTGTAATCCTAAAAAACATCCCATTCTTCAATGTATATAACTGTATACTGTAAGTTTTCATAAAAAATAAACAAATAAGCTTTCATGATTACCAAAATGTATACTGATTATTGTTACAATTAATTATTCAAATATACATACAAGGCATTTTTCAAGGCATCAATGACATACAGGTCTGTAAATGTTTTGTTTATAGAACAAAGTTTTTTATATTCTCCAATTACATCCATATTTGACGATTTAACTGCATTCTAAAAACAAAAAACTAACATGAACTACTGACGGGTGGTGGAGCAATCGTAACCTTATAAAGTTTATCCCACCCATCTGAGCAAAGTGGTAGCACCAGGCAGTATGATGGTATATTCGTTCTCATTTAGATCTTTAATGTAAAGAAGAAATCGAATTGGTTTCACTTTTCTTCTCACGTGTATGTAATTAAGAAAATTGTACCTAACTATTCAAAAAATTACGAAGTATAAATAATGTTTAAGCAATATCACTATCAGGGGAAAGTCCAATTATTATGATTTTAAAGATTTTTCATTGTTGTAATAAATCTTTCAGTTGATGCTATTATGTAATAAGACGTTCATATTTTTTTTTCTGAAGTATATACAAGATTAAGAAAACAAATAGTTAAGTAGCAATGTAACACGTTGCATAACCTTATTTTAAAAAATACGTAGTATTGGTAAAATTTTGTGAAATATAAAAGTACAATTCAACTGAAGATGTCCTTATGACAAGTTTAAACTGATTAATCTATTTATATATACATATATATTGAGAGCAAGCTCTGTAAAGGAAAAAGGAAACACCTTTTTTTTCATTATTATAATTCGTTAATTTCTAAATAACCATTGTGTTCCCTTATAAGCACAGGCGGATTTACGGGAGGGGCTTTCGGGCTGAAGCCCCCCCCCAAAATGGTAAAATGTAACCATGTTTTATGGTAAATAATATTAAAAAATTATGTCTTAAAGTATTATAGCTCGTTTAATTACATTTAATAGGACTTGAACACCATTTCATATAGGTAGTTAGTATATTTCTGTTTTTCCAATGTAATTACCGTTATATATATGAAAAAAAGCTTCCGCGCTGAAGCCCCCCTCCCCTCCCAAAATTAAATCCTGGATCCGCTAGTGCTTATAAGTATAAAAACGAGGGTGTGCGTCATTCCATAGTTTGTCATTTTCGATAGTTTCGGGTACTAATCACGAAAAATTTCGAGAATATCGATAGTTCAGTGAGTTTCCTGATCCACCGTTTATGATTAGGTTTTCTCTCTTAATTTTTTTTTTTTTTTTTGTTTAGTGGCCAAAAGAATTTTTTTCAGAATGAAAAAGGTTTCGGAATATTTTTTATTTTATTTGCATGAAACAAAATTTCCAGGACTTTCATTTTTAATTAATTAAAATCTTGAATGTATTTAGCATTACATACAAAATAAGTATGAATAAAATAAAAGAGATGGGTAAATAGTCGACTGATCAATTATATATCTAAAAAAAATTGTCCGGACTTTCAGTCAAGATATTTTTATTAGGTCAGCGGACGTTTCGACCCACACACGTGAGGTCATCCTCAGGGCTATCATTTGGAAATCGAGACAAAAAGTGAGTTCTTGTGAGAGATACCGGCCCACTCCAGACCTGTGTTGTAGCCATGTTTTGTGTAAGTTTTTGGTATGTCCGTGAAGTTTTACATGAAATTTTTTATGATTTTCGAATGTGATCTTGTGCCATCGGTATGTGTACGTGTGCATGTAATGTTTTAGTTAACTACTGAATGTAGTTAGTGACGTATCTAGTTGGACGTGTGATGAATCTTAAAAGTTTTTGATTGAAAAGTCTGCATTTTTTTAATTTGAGTTTTTTTTTAGCAATCCTGTAGATTGGCATAAGTCGATATGGGTTTTAGTAAGTAAGTGTAAGCGTTTAGTTTTTGTCTCATAGCGGAAGTAGATCGTTTTTGTAAGAGAGAATACAAAAGCCTTAGTCGATTATTTAGGATAAGAGTTATTTTTTAATGTGTGGCTCCCGAAAAATATTTTTTTGTATGCATATATTAGGATGATTACTTCGGAAGAAAGAAATAAACTAACTACCTATATGAAATGGTGTTTAACTGATTCTTTAAGTCTTATTAAATGTAATTAGACGAACAATAATACTTTTAGAGATAATTTTTTTCATAAAACATGATTATATTTACTATTTGGGAGGGAGGGGGAGAGAGGGACTTCAGCCCGAAAGTCCCCTCCCCCTCCGTGTAAGGGAAAATCATTTATATAAACTGAAATACAGATTTCATGCCGAAGCGTAAAGATCTTTATCACTGTTGGGTTTAATTTCCCATTTTTTAAACCATTCGTGTAATATTTGTTGCTTGTTTGTCAGCATGTCTGGTGAGAATTGGAGTGTCGTCTGCATAGGTTGTATTTAATGTGTTTGGGTAAGTTGGTAAGTCGTATGTGTATATAATGTAAAGTAAAGGTGCAAGAATCGATCTCTGTCGTACTCTGACCGCTGGGGGGGGGGAGAGGGGGAGCTTTCCGGCTGAAGCCCCTCCCAAAATAGTAAAATATAACCATGTTTTACAGAAAAAAAATATTAAAAACTATCTCATAAACTATCTCATTAAAGAAATGGAACCAGCGGTGGGTGACGACGCCAAAAGGGGCTACGCTAAGAAAATACTTTCCCACCGTTAGTACAAGAATGGAACAGACATTCTCTGTGCTCCGAGTTCTCCCGGACTACTGGGTCTGACAGTTCCTCACAGGGCATGGGGGTTTCCGTGCAAAGGTCGTTGAATATGGCAAGAACATTGATCCCCTATGCCCAAGTTGCAGAGTGCCGGAGACCGCCGAGCAAATCAGCCTTGTCTGTACCGCGTTTGAGGCACTGAGGGCTAAGTTGTTGAGGGAGACAGGGCTTTACGCTCTGACGGAGAGCGATCTCCCTCAACTTATGACAAAGAAAAAATATCCGTATTACAAGGCCTTCGTATACGGGTGGAAGGAACTCGTTGGGTCAACCCACTTTTCATTGTGAAGAAGAAATGAACCTGCATCCGGAAGACCGCCAGAGAGGGTGGAAGAGGATGCTGGCTAAAAAGAAAAAAGAGCAGGCTGTGTGTACGGCTGAAGAATAAAATAAATGTAATTGGTCTGAATGCAGCAGTGAGTTGTAACTCATGCGTTGCTACTCACTACTGCATAACACCCATATTGCCTTATCGGCAGGGTTTAAATAAAATTAAAATTAAAATCTCATAAAGTATTCTTGTTCGTTTAATTACATTTAATAGGACTTCAAAAACCACTTAAACACCATTTCATATAGGCAGTTAATTTCTTTTTTTTACTAATTAATTATTGTCATATGTGTATAAAAAAATCTTTCTGGCTGAAGCCCCACCAAAATTAAATCCTGGATCCGCTAGTGTCGACCATTACTGAACTTATAGAAGAGGTTTCCATATTAGACAGAGAAAACCTGTTTGAAAGGAAGGAGAGAAGAATGAGATAATAATTATAAGGAAGAAATTATTTAAGATTGTAAAGCAGTCCATCGTACCAGACTCTGTTGAATGCTTGAGCAAATCCAGAATTACGCCTTTAGCGTATAATCTATCTTCTAGTGCAATTGAAATTTAGTCTATGACCTGTGCAGTTGTTGTATGGTTGAATGCACTGAACGGAATCCGAATTGGTGTTCAGGTGGTCTTTGGTTCTGTGTTAGTATGCGTATGCATAATAATTTTTCAAAAATTTTAGAGCCAACCGGAAGTATACAAATGGGTCTGTATGAAGAAGGGCTATTAGGATTTTTGTTCGGTTTTGTATCATTAGTAAATATGAAAAGTTCCATTGCAATAGAAATTTTGTTTTTCTTATTATGACGTTGAATAACGTTGTTAGATAGACTATCGCTTTTCTGGGCATATGGTGGAAGTAGTTCAGCAATGATCTAATTAAATTATTGAAAGAAATGAGATAGTTGTTTTTATTACAGCCAATCTTGACCTATGAACTTATATTAATAAAAGTAAACTAATAAAGAGAAAATTAATAGAGTAACAAATAGCAAAAATCTTGCTATAGGGTGAAAGAAAAGAAATTGTGTATTTTAAGTTTTTCGATAGCCTAGGCAGCACCTGCAATTTTATTTTCATTGATGAAAACACTTAGGTTTGGTTAAGAAAAATAAATAATTAATTAACGGACCTTGTGAAGATTATTAAATAGCGAACTATCGTTTATACACTAAAATTGAATTATATATTCCAGAAAACTTATAAGCTGGTTTAATCAATTTAAATGCAGCTTATATTAATACACCTACAAGCTATAAATTATTTTATGTAGACTTTTAATTTTTACCGCATATTACAGTTTTTCTGTAAAACACTGCAGTAACAGGCTCAGATTTCATTCCAAACGAACAGGCCTCAATTCCGACCAGGACGGATAAGCCAGGTAGTATCGTGCTTTAAAAAGTTTTTTTGCAATTGAAGTAGAAAGTGAATCTATGAGATTTCTATTCTTTAAAAAAAATAATAATAAATTGTTCATCAATTTTATAAAATAAATAAAAGCAGTTTCATGATTTTGCGAGATTAGAGGTTGAGAGTGTTACAATAATACTTTAAAAAATAATTTGTTTATATATTTTTTCTATAAAACGTAATTATATTTTACCATTTGTGGTGGGGAGAGGGGGAGGGTGAGAGGCTACAACCCCAAAACCCCAAATTAGATAGTTGTTTTTATTACTACCAATCTTGACCTGTGAACTTATATTAAGAGAATTAATGGGGTAGCAAACTGATAAAGAGAAAATTAACAGTGTCACAAATAGTGAAAATCATGCTATAGTATGAAAGAAGAGAGATCATGTATTTTACGTTTTTCAGTCACTTAGACAGCACTTTTATTATAATTAATGGAAACACTTAGGATCGGTGAAGCAAAAAAAATTAACGGGCCTTGTAAAGACTATTAAATAGCGTACAGTCGTTTATACACTTAAATTAAATCATATATTCCAGAAAAGTTACCAAACGCTGGTATCATCAATTTAAATGCATCATATATTAATGCACATACAAGTTATAAATCAATTTTTGTAGACACTTTTACTTTTTAATTTCATTTTAATCGGTCATGTCTCGATTTAGAATAGGACTGATAAGAGAGTTAGTATTGTGGTTTAAAAAGTTTTTACAGTTAAAGTAGTAAATCAATTTATGAGATGTCTATTCTTAAAAAAAAAATGAAATTGCTAATCAATTTTATAAAATAAATAAAAGCGATAGCACGACTTAACGAGGAGATGGAAGGTTGAGAGATTCCATTTTGTGATTTTATTCCGTGCTACCAAATACTAAACACTCATTTCATGAAAAATATTTTTTAACAACTAATTATTTTTCAAATTCGAATTAATTAAGTATTTACTAACTTATATACAACGTGATAAGAATACCCCGGAATTCCTCATTTTTACCCGAAAAAAATACAACCTGAAGAAACATTTTTTAAATTTAATTTTTGTTTTATTTATATATATTTTTAACATATAATTATATCTAAACGAAAGAATTTAAATACGATACTAAGGTTTTTATACATCATATAAAAATTTATATGATCAAAATAAAAAAAACAAACTTTATAATCATATAAAACAACTATGATAGATTTTGGTTTATAGTGCGAATAAATAAAATCTAACCAATTCTTTTTTTTAAACAATTAATTGATATTTTTAGGGCTCAATGACTATTATAAAATATAGTGAAAAGAAACATTCATTTATGTAACACATAACAATATACTTAAAATTATATAATGCTTATTTTAGGATCAATAAATTTTTCATTTCAAATAGATGCTCGTTCAAAAATAAATTAATAAGTTTAATTCATGTTATAACAATAAATTACGCATAAATTAAGCAGGTTTACGCACCTGGACTCTGTTTTAATATTTTTTAAGGATTCTACTCTTAATAAACAAATTGATGTTCGGCTGTGATAAAAAAGTCTGGGCAAATAAAAAAAAATGTCTATTTATTTTATTACTTTTTCAAAATAATATTGTGGACTTGAAAATAAGAATAAGTAATTTATTTTTTCACGCAGTGTATCGTTTAGAATAGCTGTTCATGATTCTGAAAAGAAATTGTACTATACATACAGAATGTGAGTAAAAATAATAATAATAATGTCGAACAATTTTCGTTTTAATTCAAACATTCTTCCATGGTCGGATTCAGAAGGCTTGTACAACGTTAAAAATCAATATTTTACTAAATGTATCAGTGAAATATCTTAGGCAACTAATTTTTTTTTGATTGACGAAAATAAAATAATTTTTTAAAGACCTTCAACAAAATAGGATTATTCGGCATTTTAACCACTGTTCGCCCTGCACATCTGTAGCGGGAAATAACTGAACTATCGATGAAAAAATATTGGTGGTAAAAATCAACGAGTATCGCAATTCTAAGCGCCTGCCAACTTAGGAGGTTCAGCGTTTCCAGTAGGTCGTGGTTGAAGCGATTCGATACTAAAGATAAATTGTATTGCCTAAAGAAATTAGTAATCATAATCCTTCATTTAAAAAATACGCATTTATCTCGATTTTATACTGGTATTATTAATTTTAAAAAGATCGATCTATCACTTTTCGCGCTCATATGTTTAGATGGGTTTCCATTAACACCAATACTAATTTTGCAAAAGTACTTCGTTTATGATAACTCAGATTTTATCTATCAGTAAAGTAGTGAATTGTTGTAGACTTTACTCTGCAACGAGTAGCATTTATAATAACAAAAAGTTTTGTAAGTTGATGGCTCACAAGTTATCTACCATTCTGAAGAATGTCTCAGGTTGGTAAAGCTAAGATGCCATTGAGAAAAGCTCGCTCAACATATTCTCTTCCTGAGAGGATGTATCATGCACCCAGTAATAATTATATTAATGGCATTAAATGCAATAGTATATGCTCCAATCATTCCTTATGTAAGTTTTAATAATTACGTGCTTACATTTCAAAGTATGTGAATACCTCTTTTTTTCAACTATTTTCTGTAGTGCGATAATTCATTTTTTTTTTTTTTTTATTTCTGGTGAAAGTTACTTATGAATCCAATAATGTTCATAATATATTCTATAATGTTCAAATAATAAAATCTTTATATCTTGATGTGAGTGGGAAGTTACTAGTATTGCTCTTTTTACTAACTACTAAAAAATATTTTTGATAATCACTTTTAGTATATGTTTAATTGAAAATTACTTAACAACTGTTGTTTCTGATTGATTAATACAAGAATTATTTAGGTTTTATTATTTAGTTTGAGGAAATATAGTTTAACATACATTTAATTACGAAATATCTATATCTAGAAACCTCTAAGTGCACATACATATATTTCTTAAATATAGAAAAATGGATTCGGGATAATAACCTAGTTATGTTTCCATCCATATATATTGGGCAAGTTTCTAAGCTCAGCGCTCAGCTCATCTATGGTATCGCAAGTCTATGAAACCGTTCTTAAATTCAATGATTGGATTCAGCACATTGCTTTACTCATCAATGAATTCCATCGATTGAATGTATGTCAAGTTTAGAAAGTTGCCCAGTTTTTCGCTGATAAGGTTTTATATAGCAGATTTATGGTAAAATACTTTTATATTTTCGGTCTGGAAATCCTCCCGAGTCTCGTTTGTTTCTAAAACGCTTAAATTGAATTTTATCGAGATTTTTTTCTGAGATAAGAGTGGATATGTCTCCAAATATGATTGCTGCATCGTAACTAGGGGCACGGGCGGATCTACGGGGAGAGGGAGGGGGCTTTCGCCCCCTCCCAAAATGGTAAAATATAACTATGTTTTATCGAAAAAAATATTTAAAAAGTATCTCTTAAAGTATTATTGTTCATGTAATTACAATTAAGAGGGCTTTAGGAATCACTTAAACACCATTTCATATAGGTAGTTAGTTTCTTTCTTTTTTTCCAAAGTAATTATCGTTATTTTTATGAAAAAAACAACTTTTGGGCTTAAGCCCTCCCCAAAAATAAATCCTGGATCCGCAAGTGACTAGGGGAAGGGAATCGAGAGGATGTTCAAAGAAGACAATTAGGGCAACTAGCTTCCTGTACGCTTTTTCCTTGACTTAAGTAAAAAATATTTGTTTAGCTTTTTGCTTGTTTTGACCTTAATTTATCCAATTATATGATTAAATATTATGTGATGATGATATTCATTTATATTTAAGATTATTAATTTTTTCTCCACCACTTGTTTTAGTGGTGCTAGAAATATATAGTTGTTGTTTTTATAATTATTTTTATTTAGTTTAAAATTTTCTGTTAGACTTTATTGCAAATCTCACAATTTTAAAGTGTATTTTTTTTTTTTTGTAGTTGTGAAGTCATCAGATTCCTCACATAATGGCAAACAACCTAATTCATTTATTGCAAGATACAAAAGTAATTGTAAACAAATGAACTTGGTGCCTTTGAGTCTTGTTAAAGTTCAGTTTTCAGATGTGTTCCTAGATTTGATTGTTGATCGTATAAAATTACTTGATTGGATAGCTATTTTAAAGACTATAAGTAAAGATAAAAGCTTACATTTTATTTCTTTTAGAAGTAAAGTAAGAGGTCACGGTAAGAATTTGAACTATAAATAAAATATTAAATTTCCACTCAATTATTAACTAGCTATTCCTTATGTAGTAGTTCAAGAGCATATGGATTCAGAAAAGAAGGCACAACAAGCCAATAAAGAATCTGTGCTATACACACGATATCTTATTAATAAAATTTCTGAAAGCCTCAGAGATTGTTTGACTTTTTCAAAACATTTCCTATGTCTACAGCTCCTTAAAATACCTCTCATGGGTGATGGAATAAAAATTTTAGGGGAGGTAAATATTTCTCTCTCTCTTTTTTTTTTTTTAAATCAATCATTCTTATTTAAAATATTAAATTAGGATTAGTTTTGATTAGTTAAATGTCGCAGTTAAAAATAGGATCTAATACTTAATTTTCTTAGTCCTGTGTTGGTAACCAATAATTTTTTTTGTTTTGTTTATAACAATACTTTAATTATATTTGAGGTTTCATAAATGGAGATAGAAAATTACTCGATTTTTACATCAAATAGGTATTTTATTATAATGTAATTTTTACTTTTACAAAATTACTAAAATATAGAAATATTTTATAGGTTATATTTTATAGATTATAAAATATAACCTATAAATATACTACAAATATTTATAGGTTTGAAACTATATTTAGTCTTGATGCAAATATTTTCAATCCTCCAACAATTGAAATTCCAATCAACTGAGCTGATAGTCATTTTTGGTGTGAGGATAAATTTAGGATATCAATCCTATTAAAAAAAAAAAAAATAATAAATTGGAACTTGTGGCATTGCTATAAGAACAATAATGGAAGGCGACTAATAGAATTTTTCATAGACAATGATCTTCCCAATTGGCAATTCCTTTTATCCCCATAAAGTGGTTCAAAAGATAACCTTTTCAGCACAGGAAGGAAATGTTAACAGTGTGATTTTCTACTTTGTATATACCAAGGAAATCAGAAGATTCTTCACAGACATCAAAGTCATCCGAGGTGCGGAAATCGGGAGTGACCCTGTTGATCGCAGATAGCAGATTCCTTCTACGAAAAAGCCTCATCCAAAAGCTTATGAAAGGATTGAAATAAAACAGCTGCAGGATATTCGGAAACGAATGGATTATGAGAACGAGCTAAGGAATCGGCTGCATGAACTAAACTTTGATAAAGCCTTAGATAAACTCTGGCTGAAGCTGAAAGCAGCTATATTGGAATCAGCAACTAAAGTATGCGGTGTGAAGAAAGTGTCAGTCAAAAGGAAAGGTTCAGACTGGTGGAGTGAAGAACTTAGAGCTGTTGTAAAGGAAAAGAAGATCTTGTGGAAAATATTCTGCATGGAAAGAAGCCGAGACAAATATGAACTCTACAAAGTTGCTAGGAACAGAGTAAAAGTTGTGGTAAGAAAAGCAAAGAGGAAAGCATGGGAAGAGTTTGGTCGCTTCCTTGATGTTGATCATAGAGAGAATATTAAGCTCTTCTAGTGTAAAATGAAGGCTCTGAGAGGCAGAAAGGCAAAACCAGTTAGAATATAAAGAATGAGAGGGGAGAGTTAGTGTCAGAGGAAAAAGAAGTGCTGGAGGTATGGTGTAGGTATTACTCAAGACAGTTTAAAGGCAACCAGGAAGCAAGCGATGTTCTTGTTGAAAGAAGAATCTTTCCAGAGGACCAAGGAAACGATCCGATAGAAGAAGAGGAGGTTGAGAAGACTATTGCAATGATAAAGAAAGGAAAAGCAGCAGGTCAAGACAACATAGTCCCAGAATTTATTAAATATGGTGGACCAGAGTTAGTAGGAACTCTTCAAAACTTCTTCCAAAGAGTTTGGGACAATGAAAGAATCCCTAAGGAATGGGAGTTCAACGTTAAAATACCCATACATAAGAAAGGGAGCCAAAGTGATTGCTCTAATTACAGACCCATCTGCCTGTCTCCAGTCCTCTATAAACTTCAAACTTCCATCCTAGAGAACTGATTAAGACCACTGTTGGAACCTGACCTCCTGGAAGAGCATAGTGCTTTTAGGCTCGACAGGCAAACAAATGATCACATCTTTACTTTGAGAAATGTGATAGAGAAGTCCTGAGACCGAGACCGAAATATTTATCTCACCTTATTAGACTTGAAAGCAGCATTCGATTCGGTTCCCCGAAATGAAATTTGGGAATCCTTGAAGGCAAAAAACATCCCAATAAAGCTTTTAAAGGCTATGAAATCGACATATCAAGAGCCGAAAGGTGTTGTACGCCTGAATGGAAAAGAGTCAGGAATAGCTAGTCTCGAAAAAGGAGTGAAACAAGGCGATTCCCTAAGCCTACTTCTCTTCATTGTCTATATGGAGCAGAGAGTTGGATTCTGAATGAGAGGTTACGAAGCCACTGAGATGAAGTTTCTTAGAAGAATTGTGGGAAAAACGCAGAGAGACTGGATCCGATATGACAGGATCAGGGAGGAGCTAAAGATACTCTGTGCTGGAAACTCTGGAGAGGAAACAGCTGAAGTGGTATGGGCATGTCTGCCGGATGGACCACCACAGAGATCCAGTTAAAACCCTAGAGGTGAGGCCGATGGGGAAAAGACCGAGAGGGCGACCAAGAACCTCATTGGCTAGTCATGTGGAATGAATCAGAAGACGAAGAGGGAATACCCTGCAAGAGATCAGGAACCTTGCCGGGAACAGGGATGCATGGAAACGATAACTGGAAGCACCCTCACGCTGAGGGGCAAATGGGAAGGGAAAGAAGAAGAAGCTATAAAGGAAAAATCAATTAATTTGTAAATTAATTTTTTGTAATGAAGAATTATTCACATAAATTAGCCACGTAATTCATCCAATTGTTAAGGGTTATGTAATTTTGTTTTAAAAGTCTAATGTGATATATCGAGATGATGGTTTTAGGATTGTTTATTAATTTATAAATTATCAAATATGTGTAGTCGGTTTATTGGAAAATTTCACTAACTGCAGCTAATGGATACTGGTACTGGTACTGGGTGGGGAGGATAGAACTATCATCCATATAGTCCATAGTCCATCAAGTGGGTTCCACCCGTTCTCAAAACACAGGAATCCGCCAAAATGGCAGCCTCTTTGTCTATCTGATTTCTTGAGTAAAGCCTATCCATCCCATGGATTGTGAGACTTTCCAGTCCATCATTGTAAAGTTTTCAATCAGTATTTTTCTGATTTCTTTTCAGAGAAGGGCTGGACTGCACTGGATCAATCTTAAATATGATCATCCTGTGGACAGACGGTGTGATGTCTGAGGTGACAACTCAGTCTTTAACCCAGAATTTTAATTTGGCTTGAAGTGAGTGTAACGTCTAAGACCTCACTTCTAGCCTTAGTTACAAAAGTGGGTTCACTACCTATGTTTAAAATCTCCAAGTCTGTTGAGGCTATGTATTCTAATAAGGTTTCACCTCGCTCATTAGTATCTGTTCTACCCCACATGTGATGATGGGCATTTATATCCCCACCAATTAGTAGTGGAAGCTCGTCTTTTTTTGCGAAACTAAAAAGTCTATCAATATATTGATAAATAGGGTCTAAATTAAGAGAAACATAAATAGATCCAATTATCATTTTAATCTTATTAGTGCCTATCGTGATAGTCAGGTTCATGGCCATAAAGCCTCTTGAATTCACCTGAGAGAGTAGCAGTATGTGCAAAACTTTGGAGGCCCATAGGCACCCACTAGGTTTGTCTTCAATTAGGAGAGGTCAGATAATTCTTCATCCTGTTCCTCTGAGTCTTTAATCATTCCCCTAAAACAATATAGTTCTTGTATTAGAACAAGGGTGAATTTCATCCCCGAAAAAAGCTTAGCTAATTCGGCTGTGGCCAATTTATTGTGTTGTATATTAATTTGTCTTACCTTAATCACAGTGGACTCCATTGTTGATAAGGGGAAGTTGGAAGTGCAGGAGCCTAATGGTGCTTGCTCCTCCTGGTGTTCTCCTGTGAGGGATTGCTGGATCTTGAAACTATTGGTGGCGTCATACAAACCGTCAAGCTAACTAGCTCGTAATTTATTCGCCACTCATGAGCTTCAACCATGCGATCGAGGTACTTGCCATCCTAAACACCACTCTCAGGTGTACTAGGTCGCCCTCAGTTCTGTCTGGGAGAACTGCCCCACCTCTACTTACATCACAGCGGATACCTTATGCTGCTCTTCTTCTTTGCTTTTCATTGTTATAGTAATTGAAGTTTGTGTATTATGTTAAATGTGTGGTGTTTGAGTAGGTATGCTGCCGTCTCAGCCCCAAACCCCTCATATCGTTAGTATGTATCGCTCGAGAGTGGAGTCCAGTGCCCTCGGAGGAGCAGCTCTGGTCTACGCATCAGGGTCCAATCTAGTCACCAACTGGCACTACTGCAGCATCCGAACTTTTACACTGGACTGATAGAGCAGCCTCTTCTTCCGGGCTAGAAGGTGCGGGCACCTGTACTATTCCAGCAGCCGAGATGTGCCATCCTTTGTTTTCCTCTGTACCCTTTGAAACAACTACTTCGAGCTGGCTCAAACATACAGCAAGGGAAGGAATGCAGGATGACAGGAGTGACCTTTTTGAGTTTTGTTCTTTGGTTGGGTGCGGTGGTGAGCAGTGTTCCTCCAGTTGCTGACCTGGACAGGCGCGCACCTCGCTTTGTCCTGAGGTTGAGGCGAGAAGGGAATCCTCTTCAAGCAGCCTGACCTGCTTCTCTTTCCTAGGAAAGGTGACCCTAGGGTGTGTAATGTGAGTGTCTTTTATGTTTATGTGCTGTGGTTGTTTACTGTGTGAGTGTCAGTGTAGTTGTTCCCCCAACTTGGAGGGCCAGTGGCTGATTGCTGTCAAATGACCGAGCAATGGGGCCGCCAACTTCCTACACCTGTTAATGGGACCAAACTTTTAATTTCATATTTGTTAGTTTCAATCATATTTATTAATGCAGTGAGTGTTTCAAAATAACACAAATTCTATTATTGTTGAGTATCAATTATCCGGACATCAATTAACCATTACATTTTGTATTAAACATTGTTGAGACCAAGCTTTTAATTACATATTAGTTAATTTCAATCATATTTATTAATGCAGTGAGTTCTTCAAAATAACTCAAATCATATTATTACTAAACACTAATTATACGGACATCAGTTAACCATTACATTTTTTTTTAATCTTAATTTTTGTTATACAGAACCCGAATTGGTTTGAAACATTTTTCCCAGTTCAATAATTAAATCCTTTATTTAAAAGCTAATCTTTGTTTTTCTATTATTTTTACAGAAAGAACATCTTGCTGACTGTTCAGTACTCATTATTTATTAAAACGAATTACCTATATTGTTGTAATATAAACTGTTGTTAAATTAAATGTTATGGTTAAAATTAATAACCTTTTTATTTTTATTCATTCTTTATTGGCAATAGATTTTGAACTTGAATTCTTTTGAATTTAAAATGTGGATTATATACAAAATTCTTTAATGTTATTCTTTGAAGTTCCTTTCTGTTGGTTGCTTCTGCATTATATTTGCAGAGCTAGGTTACACAGAACCAAGGATTAAAACAATTTGGGATAGTCCTAAGGTCATTATGTTCTATCCAATAATGTGATATTTAGTGGTTGACTCATTGCTCTACACACTGAATACCACGGAGTTTTACACTTTATAATATGCTTATGATATGGCTATCCTTATTGGTGAGAAATATCAAAGTGTTCTCTCTGACTGAAGTCAGCTATAGTCATCTTGGGGAACTGGTTTGGAGTCAATGGTCAATGCAATGGTCATAGTCAATGCATGCATCTTCACAATAAAGACAAAGGTAATAATAAAACTACATAAAATTAATGGAATCCAGTTTACTTCAAGTCAGGAGATAAAGCACCTTCATGTTACTCTGGATCATATACTTAAATGGAATAGTCATGTGTTAAACATGACTAACCCAGTTCTGAAATGTCTATGGATCTGCAAAAGTGCTGTGGAGAAATGCTGGGGACTAAAACCAAGTATGGTCTACTGGCCAGGGATACCAAGAAGAGGGTTTCATGGTCCAAGTTGAGCCATCAAAATTTATGAGGGGGAGCACATTTGGACGGGGTTAAGAATTATCGAAATGAAAAGTTTCAAATCAAAAGAAAAGTTACAGCATGGAACAGACCGCATGCTGTGTAATTTTATATAATATTTATATTGTATATATAAATTTATAATATAAATAGAATATTTAAATTCTACTTTCGTTTGCACTATTTTTAAGAAGTCGAGAACAATAAAATATCATGGGAGGGGTGAGGGAAGGTTTATGCACCATCGGCCTTGGGGAAGATGGGCATCCCTGCTACTGGCTTCATGTTGCAGCTATCAGACTTATTCTACTATACTTAGCCGGGCTCTGATGGCTCTGAGCAACTATTGGTTGCAGTAAGAAACAGCTGGACAACTGTAAAAATTATCCTATTTATTAATAAAAGGTGCTATGAAAGTTACCCCAACAGCTGCCATAAAAGTCATGTTTGGTCTTAATACTTTGCACTTGGAGGTAGAAACTCAAGCCTTTAAAAAAAATTGTACAGGCCATTGAATTTAAACTCGTGCTTTCAGGTTTTAACCCATAAAGGACATTGGGAGTTATTTCAGTGATTTGAAAAGAATGGCATGCTTCCTAGACTCCCTGAATTCTATTGAACCCCCGGATGAGGAGGAAATGGAAAACGCCCTGAGGAAATTGAAAAATAGAAAGGCACCAGGCCCGGACGGAATCCAGTCAGAGCTGTTGAAATGTGGAGGTGAAGAACTCAAGTAAGCTCTGCATGATTTAATGCTGACCATCTGGGAGAAGGAAGCTATGCCTACGGAATGGGCAACAGCCATTATCTGCCCAATACATAAGAAAGGAGATCAAACAGAATGCGCTAACTATCGAGGAATCTCACTCCTTTCGTGTGCTTATAAGCTGCTCTCTAACATTCTTTTTGAGAGGACCCTCCCGTATCCTGAAAAGGAACTGGGGAAATATCAGGCTGGATTTCGGCGAGGACGCTCAACCACTGATCAACTGTTCTCTCTGAGGATGATCCTAGAAAAGACGATGGAGCGTATGGTAGTCACCCACCATTTATTCCTAGACTTTAAAGCAGCATACGACAGCGTTGATAGAACACAACTATACTGTGCCTTGGAGGAGCTAAGCATCCCTCAGAAGCTCGTACGCCTAATCAAGATGACCATGGACAGCTCGAGATGTAGAATACGCGTCGGTTCTGATGCCTCCGAAGAGTTTAAAGTGAGCAGTGGGGTTCGGCAAGGGGATGCCCTCGCCTGTCTATTGTTCAACTTGGCAGAGGAGAAAGCTGTAAGAGACTCCGGTATTCAGACCAGTGATATAATCTTCAATCGCCTGACACAGGTTCTTGGTTTTGCTGATGATATTGACATAATAGGTAGGTCTGAACGGGCTCTCAGAGAAGCGTTTATAGGCCTTGAAGCAGCTGCAAGACCACTTGGTCTAGAAGTCAACGAGAGGAAAACTAAGTATATGAGAGTTGGTGGTGAGGTGGATCTGAACTCTCCATTTGAGGTAGGTTCTTTTAAGTTTGAGAGAGTGAAAAGTTTTATATACCTTGGGTCTGAAATTAATAGCAAAAATGACATGGCTCAAGAAATACAGAGAAGGATCACGGCTGCCAATAGATGTGTCTTTGGACTTGGCCGACACTTAAGAAGTAGGTATCTCTCAAAGAAGACCAAGCTGATCATATACAAGACCCTTGTACGGCCTGTTTTGACATATGGCTCAGAGGCTTGGACGATGACTAAAAACGATGAGATGAGGCTGAGTGTGTTTGAGCGAGGAGTCCTCAGAAGGATTTATGGTCCAGTAAAGGAGGGTGATGTCTGGAGGAAATGAAAAAATAGGGAGCTCAGTTCTCTTTATACAGACATCGACGTAGTCACGTATATTAAACTGGCCAGATTAAGGTGGGCAGGGCATGTGGCCAGAATGAGCACCGTTGAGATACCCAAGAAAAAAATGATGGAGGAGCTGCACCTCGCAAGACGGGTAGGAAGGCCGAGGACGAGGTGGTTGGACAACGTGGCTTATGATGCGAGAACCCTGCTTGGTGTACGGAACTGGAGAGCTGCAGCAGAAGACAGAGCCAACTGGCGGAGGCTCTTGGAGGAGGCCCAGTCTCGGTAACGGGATGTCGTGCCACCTATGATGATGATGATGCTTCCTATGTACTCCAACAATGTGGCACGTGGTAACTAATAATGGTGTCAAGATTGGCATTTCAAGCACCATAAATCTAATAATGATATTAATTGTTATATAGATAGATTACTAATGTTTGTGTGCCTCAAAAGCTGATTCTGTAGGAAGGACAGATTCTATTTAGGTATGTTTATTTTACTTGGAAAATGTACAACTATATTCCAATCAGAAATACTGGCAATATCTCACCGTGCCTGTTACTTGATGGGCTGGTAAGGGCATATAGGATCTCAAATTTCACAGACAATTAGGTGACAAACTGAGGTGGCATTTTGAGCACTTAGCAATTATACTACAAGATCAAAAGTTGCAAAGGACTATAGCCCAATCCTAAATAATAACAAGTCACAGTTGAATGGTCATTCTGGTATTACAGGCAATGATAAAGTGGATGAATTAGGCAGAAGAGAGTCCAAAAATACTCCCATTATATCCAAGCCAATGTGTAGTATAGGAATGAGCTATATCAAAAGGAGAATCAGGGAATTTTATGATAAAAAAAGTAGGCGACAGAGGCACTATAGGCTGTTCTTAGATAGATCCTGCTCAAGGCTAATTGAATTATCATATGTTCTAACTCGGGTTAACAGAGTTACACCTGTGTAGGTACTGTAACCAAGAGGATGCCAACAGCTTATGATATTACCTGTTGGTGCGACAGATTCGCCTTTTATTGTTTGGGGTTGATAGATTCCCTAATTACAAGAACTGTGAGCTTATCAATACAACAATTATTTTACAGTTTGCTAATTTATGGAAGTATTTTGTGATTTAGTTTTATACAATGTCTACTAACATTTTTAGCGATAAACTGATAATATTTTCAATCTAATTCAATCTGTTGACTATTGCAGGGACTGAAGAAAACCCAGTCTCTGCAACATTTGTCTCTCCAGAATTGTGATATTGGAGATCAGGGATGTCTCATTCTTTTACAAGCATTACGTAATGTACCAACTCTCATCACCTTAGATCTTTCTTTTTGTAAAATCACTGCACTTGGAGCTAAATATATTTCAGAACTATTGAAGGTAAAAAAGTATCAGGTTTATATAGATCCTATATAATAACTTTAACAGATAACAAAGAATTATTTGTATTTTTAACCAGATTTATTTCAAATGGAGTATTAGACT